ATCCACCCAAAACTCATATTCATAAGTGATAGCTTATCACCTGAAGAGAAAGAAGACCTTATTACTCTAGTACGATAGTATATTGATGTCTTTGCCTAGAACTACGAGGATATGCCTGGGCTTGATCCCCAAGTGGCTATACATCGATTAAACATCAAAGAATACGTCAAGCCAGTTAAACAACAACAAAGGCGATTTCAGCCTCAAATCATGGAGGCAATTGAAACTGAGGTCAAAAAGTTCATCAAGTCAGGATTTATCCGCTAAGAGCAGCATCTTGATTGGGTGGCCAACATTATCCCTGTTCTAAAAAAGAACGGGAAAATTCAAGTGTGCGTTGACTTCCGAGACATGAATTCAGCTTGTTTTAAAGATGATTTTCCTTTACCCATCACGGATGTCATTATTGACAATACATACGGGTTTGAAAGGATATCTTTTATGGATGGATTTTCAAGGTACAACCAAATCAAATTGTATCCTGATGATGAAAAGCACACATCCTTTCGAACGCCTTCGGGAATATACTGTTATACAGTAATGCCCTTTGGGTTAAAGAATGCAGGTGCTACATATCAACGTGTCATGACCTCTATTTTCCAAAAACATCTACGGAAGACTGTGGAATGTTATGTGGATGACTTGGTCATTAAAAGTCATAATAAGGGAAACCATTTACACGGCTTGAAAATGATGTTCGACCTTATGCTGGCACACCAACTGAAGATGAACCCAACTAAGTCATTCTTAGGAATGACAAGTGGTAAATTCTTCAGGTTCGTGGTCACAACTAACAGAATTCGTCTTGACCCAGACAAAGTCAAAGCCATTCGAGAGCTATCACCTCCTAGAAATCTCAAAGAGCTTTGGGGCTTACAAGGGCGATTGACATATATTCGTAGGTTCATTTCTAACATGTTAGCTAAATGCCAACCGTTCTCAAGACTAATGAAGAAAGGGGTATCGTTTATGTAGGATGAAGCTTGTGAGAAAGCATTCAAGGAGATTAAACAATATCTCTCCAATCCGGTATTGGTTGCCCCGAAGCCAGGTAAACCTTTCTTGATATACATCCAAGCTACAGATCATGCATTGGCAGGACTCTTAGCACAAGATGATGAAAACGACCATGAGCAAGCTGTCTACTATCTCAGTAGGACTTTATTGGGTGTTGAACCTTGTTATTCTCTTATTGAGAAGGAATGTTTGGTGCTAGGAGTGTCCAAAAAGCCCGCGGCCTGGGCCCGGGTCGGCACAAACTCACTCGGTCTGGCTCCGGGCCCGGCCCGAAGCAGTACCGGCTTCGGTCGTAACACAAAAAGTTGTTATTTTGAGAACACAATGACATCAATGAAGAAAACGATTTTCCCCGCGAACAGGGCCCGGCGCCAACGGTCATAATCTGTGACCGTTGCCCGGCTCGACCCGGCCATATCCGACCAATGATCACAAATTGTGACCGTTGTGATCGTTGCCCGGCCCGGTCCGGCCCGATCATTTTTGACCGTTTTGCCGGGTTGGGCTGGGCGCCCGGTCCGGACCGGCCAAACGGTCATATTTGGCCATTTGACCGATTTGCCCCTTAAAACGGTCAAAAAACGGCTAGAATATAAGGGTTTTTTGGTCATTTACCTAGGGGGCTGCCTCTATAAATAGAGGGGGGTTTCACTTCATTTCCTCACAACAAAATTTATCTACTTCTCTCTAATACTCTCTTATACAATCTTATACTCTCTTATACTATCTTATAATCTCTTATATTTTCTAATACTTCCATCAAATGGCTTCTGCATCTGATTATGAAAAGCAAAACCTATCTCCTACCGATCCAAAGATGAGTCCTCCTACAACAACTCCTCCTCCTACCGGTGTTAATCCTGAATCTGGTGGTGACGAATCTACTGCACCAAGAACTCCTAAAAGGCCGAGATCCGATGTCTGGAATTTTATTGAGAAGATAGACGTCACCAAGGATGGACACGGTAGGATCATCTCTCAAAAGGCAAAATGTGCGTTGTGCGGCCAGGTTTTCCAAGCTCATCATAAGAGCGGCACCAACCATCTCAAACGCCATATAGAAAAACACAACAAAGGCCAGAATCTTCAAGGTGATATCCGACAGTCTATGATTTCCCAATCCTCCTCTTCTGGTACCCTCGGTAGTTAGAATTATAACGCTGTCCGAGCTAGGAAATACGTAATCAGATTTATTGTTCTTAAAAACCTGTCTTTTAAATTAGTAGAAGATGATGAATTTGAAGATTTATTTAGAGATGGTTTTTATCCTGTATTTATAAAATTTTCTCATCAAACCTGTCAACGTGATATTTTAAAATATTATTAGGAGGAACAAGAAAAAATAATTTCTTATTTTAAAAATTTAAACTGCAAATTTTCTTTAACTTCTGATATTTGGATATCTAGAGTGCAAACTGGCTATTTATGTATCACAGCATACTGGATTCATAAAAATTAGCAAATGTTTAAAAGAGTTGTTTTTTTATTGCAATTGAAGAGTCACACACTGATATTAATATTGCAAATTTAATAATTAAAGAACTTATGAAACTAAAAATTGATCAAAAAATATTTTCTCTTTCACTAGATAATGCAAGTAATAACAATATAGCTGTTGCTTTTATTAAAACAACTCTGTCATTGCCATGTTATGGTGACCTTTTTCATATTAGATGTATCTGCCATATTTTAAATTTAATTGTTCAAAGTGTATTTTCTGAAATTAATCCCATGATAAAAAAGGTTAGAACAGTTGCTAATATGCATAATGCTTCTGAAATGAGAATTAAAAGATGAAAACAATATTATAAAAGAAAAAATTATAAGCCTAGACTAATTCTAAAATATGTTGACCATAGGTGGAATTCCACATATGTAATGTTAAGTGTAGCAATAGAATATTAAGAAATTATAAATGATTTTATAAATTTTTATGCTTCTAGTTCTAGCTCTGGTAGCACTTATGGAATAAGTGAAGATGAATGGACAATTATATGTAAATTAAATGAGATGTTACAAGTTTTTTATAATGCTACTATGTTATTATCTGGTTGTTATTATCCAATTATTACTTTAGCTACTTTACAAATTTTAAATATTCTAATTTTTTTTGCCAAATATCGTATGGATGATATTTTTGGAAATATAATTTTTCAAATAGAGAGCATATTTAATAAGTATTTTAGGCCTATTCCTCATATTTTTGGTTTGGGGTTCTTATTGATCCATGTTTGAAGGATATTGGTCTTCAAAGTTTGTTACAGTCATTGTATGGATGATATTTTTGAAAATATAATTTTTAAATGGAGAGCAAATTTAATAAGTATTTTAGGCCTATTCCTCATATTTTTGGTTTGGGGTTCCTATTGATCCATGTTTGAAGGATATTGGTCTTCGAAGTTTGTTACAGTCATTGTATGGTGGATAGATTATAGACTTAGATGATGGTTCCATCCTTACTGCTACTTCTTATCATTTATCTATTAGAAATTATTTTCAAATATTATATGATGAGTATGTAGCTAGACATGGTGTAGCTGCACAACAATCTACAGCTTCAGCGCCTTCGGCTTTGAGCACAGGTCGAGGTAAAAGTGTAAGTTTTGATAGGTATACAATGGTAGTTGAACTAACTGGTGGATCTGGAATTGGTTCAGGATTAGAGGTTTCTGAATTAGATGAATATTTTTCTGCTTCCTTAGTTAAATGTCCAGGAAATGCTTTAGATATTTTGCAATGGTGGAGAGTATATGGATCAGTTTCATATCCTATACTTTCCACCATGGTTCGTGACTTACTATTATTGTAGGTTTTGACGGTAGCTTCGGAATCCACCTTCAGTACAGTAGGACGTTTGATCGACGACCACAGGACATGCTTAGATCCGTATACTGTACAAGCGGTGATGTGCTTACAAGATTGGTGGAAGTACGAGAAGCGAACACAAGGCATCGATCGGATTGCTATAATTAAAGATAAATTTGAAGAGTTGAGACTAGCAGATAGATATAAAGATTAGATAATATTCATCAAATTGTAATTTTTATTTCTTAGCTTTAAATTTGTAATGAATTATTTCGGAAAAAGTTGCAAATGATAGTGATATGGGTGAGTAGGTGTCAACCTAGTTAGGATTTACTCATATATTGTGATGCGACGAATTTCGAAATAAATTTATACTTGTAAATAATTTACTGATTATTAATAAAGAATTTTTTTATCATTTTTATTTTTATAATTTTTTTTACTTATAATTTATGTCATTTCAAGTTATTAAAAAAATTATGTCATTTTCTATAATTTTTATGTATATTTTATGATTTATTGTTTTTTTAAATTTTTAAAAAAAATAAAATCTGGGTCGGCCCGGGTCCAGGCTTTAGTTTTGCCCGGCCCGGGCCCGGTTTCCCAGGCCGGGCCGGCCCGGATGGATACCCCTATTTGGTGCTAGTCTTCACAGTCTAGAAGATGCAATATTATTTGGTTGGGCAAACCATACATATCATTTTCCAGATCAATCCTATTCGGGTATTCATGACACAGCCCAACACGTTGAACTGGCGACTCGCTAGATGGGCATTGATGCTCTCCCAATATGATATTCATTTCAAACCTCAAAAGGCAGTAAAAGGTCAAGCTATTTGTGACCTTATGGCTAACCATCCATTGTAGGGGAATGGGTAATTGTATCAGGACATACCAGATGAGACATATGAAGCCAATGCTATTTTTAAAGAGCAGGTATGGTTACTATATTTCGATAGTGCGGCAAGAGCGAGTCTTACTGGTCGAGTTATTGTCGGAGTGGGAGTAGTCTTTATCTCTCACAAAATCATGTGCTACCACGAGCCGTTTCTCTAACGGAGTCATGCTCTAATAATGTAGCCGAATACAATACTTTGTTGGTTAGCCTGGATATAGCTAGACAGCTGGGGGTGAAGCACCTAGAAGCATATGGCAACTCGCAACTCGTCGTTAACCAGATGAAGGGAGAATATGAGGTTATAAATGAGGATCTCATCCCTTATCATACAGCAGCGATCGCATTGGCTGAATCTTTTGAAGGTTTCTACATTGACTATGTACCCCGTCTCAAGAATACTTATGCCAACGTGCTAGCGTCGCTTGCGGCCACATTGGCTCTACCTGAAGGAGCTACTCAACAAATCACCGTGACAAGCAAACATTTGTTCAAGTCGAAGTATGTGTTTCAGATCAACGTGATTGAAGATGAGCCTGTAATACTTGAACCTAAAGATTGGTGATTTTCGATCATTGATTATGTCTTATATGGCTTATTGCCTGAAGACATCAAGGAAAGAGAATCTATTCGTAGACGAGCACCCAGGTTCTACTACGATGCCTAATCTTTGACTTTGTACTGAAGATCGTATGATGGGCTATTACTTTGCTGTTTGTCAAAGAGAGAAGCAAAAGAAGCTCTTAAGGAAGCGCATGATGGCATCTGTGGAGCTCATCAACCCGGTCCTAAATTATGGGACTGACTACGTAGATTGGGTTATTACTGGCCTAACATGGTATAAGATGCCATCGCCTATGCCAAACGATGCAATGCCCGCCAGATACATGCTAACTACATGCATCGACCGCCCGAGCACCTTCACCCGTCAGCCACTTCATAGACTTTTGAAATATGGGGTATAGACATTGTTGGCCCAATAACCCCATCCTCTTCCAAGGGACATCGCTTTATTTTAGCGATAACTGATTACTTCTCTAAATAGGCAGAAGCAATCCCGTTGAGAAAAGTTAAAACGAGTGATGTTGTTAAATTCTTAAAACATCACATCATATACAGATACGATATTCCGAGGCGTATCATCCATGACAACGGACCCTAGTTTGTTAGCTAAGCTTTCACCCGATTCTGTGATAAATTCAGATCAAGAATTTGGCTTCAACAACTTATAACCCTGCTGCTAATGGGCAAGCAGAAGCATTCAATAAGACCATCATCAGAATTCTCACTAAGGTGGTTTCAACGAATAAAAGAGACTGGAATGAGAAGTTGGGTCAAAGCTTGTGAGCTTATCGCATAACAGTTTGTACACCGACAAGAGCGACATCATATTCTTTAGTATATGGATGTGAAGTTGTATTACCACTGGAAATCCAAATTCCATCTCTGTGAATAGCACTTGCAACTAGCATGACCACAGAAGAAAGTCATCGCTGACGTCTTGAAGAACTGGAAGCGCTAGATGAGAAGAGACTACTGGCTCAACAACACATTAAGCTTTATCAAGCTCAGATTTCCATAGCATTCGATAAAAAGGTTAGATACCGCACATTCAAGGAAGGTGACTTGGTTCTTGCCGTTCGGCACCTAATGATTTTGAATTCTAAAAAGAAAGGGAAGTTCGAGCCAAAATGGGAGGGACCATTTGTGGTAGAAACTATTTACTCAAATGGAGCTTATCGTCTTGTCACTCAAGATGGTGACAAGCTCATGATACCTATCAATGATAAATTTTTGAAGAAATATTACCCATAGACCTAATGGTCAAATATGCCTCACAGGAGGAGGAGAAACAAAGAAAGGTAATGGTTTCCTCACTTCGTCTCCTCCAAATTTCCCTCACTAATCCTCTTTAATAGGATAGTGGGACTATAAAATCATCATGTTAATGATCGCCTCTGATTATTGATGTTTTTGCTCAAAACAATATCTTTCCAATAGTAACTTAATATGTGATGTGTTACTGCATGATTTTCCTAACGTCGTCATTTCTCCAAATGACGTGTGTTTTCCAACTTAGGCCTATCAAGTGATGTGCCTTTATTTTTATCACCATCATCATACTGCTAAGTCACTGAACAATATGATTTTCCTAACGTCATCATTTTCCCCAAATGATGTTCGTTTTCCTAACTTAGGCCTACCAAGTGATGTGCCTTTGATTTCATCACCATCGTCACACTACTAAGTCACTGAACGATATGATTTTCCTAACGTCATTATTTCCCCCAAATGACGTTCGTTTTTTCCAACTTAGGCCTACCAAGTGCTAGCCTTTGTTTTCATCACCATCATCATATTGTTAAGTCACTGAATAATGTGATTTTCCTAACGTCGTCATTTTCCCCAAATGACGTTTATTTTTCCAACTTAGGCCTACCAAGTGATGTGTTTTTTTTTTCATCACCATTGTCATACTGCTAAGTCACTGAATAATATGATTTTCCTAACGTCGTCATTTTTCCCAAATGATGTTCGTTTTTTAACTTAGGCCTACCAAGTGATGTGCCTTTGTTTTCCTCGTTGTTGTTATTCTAAGTCATTGAATGACTTGATCATCCCAACATCGTCATTTTTATAAATGACATTCGTTTTCCCAATAAGTTTGCTATGTGTTGAGCTTCGTTCTTAACACTTAGTCATATTTTGAACTTCGTTATCCTACATTTGATCTGAAGCCTAAAAAAAGCTAAGGATAGAAGAGAAATCTTAGCATTAAAGTCTAAGAGAAACTCTTTGATAACTCATCATACTGAGGGGAAAAGTATGGCTAGTTCAACTCAAACGGCAGTTGGTAAAGATAACTCAAGTCCGTTGAAAGCTGAGGGTTTGCTAAAAATCCTAAGTAAAATGCTTCAATTACACAAAAAAATAAGAGAACAATATATGGATAAAATATAAATTTTATTCATATATAATTAAAAGTACAGAAACTCAAAGTACATAGATTGAACTTAGAAGACTTGAACTACACTACGAGGTTCAGTTACAAGTTCTTTCGGCTACAACACGAAGTTCAGTTACAAGTTCCTTCGAACTACACTACGAGGATCAGTTACAGATTCTTTCAATGACATTCGGACTACAACACGAAGTTTAGTTACATGTTTTTGATGACCTTCGAGATTGCACTACGAGCCTCGTCCGCAACGACATCGTTGTTCTTGTTTTTGAAGTTCCATCTCCCGTTCCTGGGCATGAAGTCTTCTCCATACCCAACTTTTAACTTGGGTGCTTGTAGCACATGCCTACCTACTTGGGTAACCTGACTACTAATGGAAACACCACAAGCTCTGAGCATAGGATCAACACTTTTCCCATCTCCGTGGAACGTGAAAGCAACTCTAACATTGTTGCTGACTCCTCCAAGAGGAAGCACTTCACTGAGTCTGCGAAGCTGCCACATAGACCGAAGTTCAAAAAAGGGACTGCATGCTTGGGGGCGCATGGCATGTCAAAGTAGTAAGAATGTTTGGACTTAGGATATCTCATGGGGGTTACATTCAAAAGTCCAACAAGTTGTCAAAATATATTCTGATTTCGACTCTAGAAAACTGAGAAATCCTCAAACAAGCGAGCTACTACAAAGACCAAGAGATCAAGGATCAGATCAGAAGCGTTACCTGAAGCGACAACGTCATCAACTTTGCATACCTCACCGGCGATGATTATCGGAGCTTAGAATTTAGTAGGAAGCGAAGGTGGAAGCCTTAAAATGCAAAGTCCCCTCTGAGTCATTTTAAAACATGGCACAAAAGAGGAAGATGAATCCTCTCGAAAAGTAATGGCATATTTATAGGCAAAAGAACCAACCAAGTGGCTGAGATTCGTTACATGAATCCCTAAGCACCAAACCGTCAAAGGGTGCTGGGAATGAAGCGACGCAATCAATTGCATTCGTAATTAGCACCAACGAGGACATGGCTCAAAGCGACACATTAAGTACTAAAGACTTAATGCTGACGAAATGAAGCGACGGATCCATGTGGATCAACAGTCTGGTAACTGTCGAATGTTGCCACGTCGTTCAACGAGATTTATTCTCATTCTTAAGTTAAAAATAATAATAACGAAAGTCATTCCTCTAATTGGGCTCAAATGTTGAGACTCGATTGAAATTGGATTCGAACCTCATCTTCGACGAAGGTCGTTCCTCTAATTGGACTCAAGTGTTGAGACTTGATTGAAATTGGATTCGAACCTCGTCTTCGACGAAGGTCGTTCTTCTAATTGGAGTCAAGTACTGAGACTTGATTGAAATTGGATTCGAACCTCGTCTTCGATGAAGGCCATTCCTCTCATTGGGCTCAAATGCTGAAGCTTAATTGAACGAGGCTAGAACCTCATTATGTTAGATTTGAAGTACAAAGTGGAGTTCGAATCCAACCTCGTATCAGAATGATAAGACTTATACTTGAAGTATTACATCTCCGGGCAACAAAGTTCATGAACTTCGACATCAGATTATGTGTTGAGGTGCAAAATAGAGCTAGTGGATAAAGACAACAAAAGTTCTACTTATATATATAAAAATACAGAAGTCTGATTACAAAAGAAATAGAGCTAAATAGATCCAGCAGTCTGGTGAATCTCTTCAGCAAGCTTAGCCAATGATTCTTTATGTTCTGCCTCAACGTTAGCCAATGCATGCCTCATCAGAACAGGCGCTCATATCATTAACAGCTCTTTCTTGCTGTTCCATTCGATCGAGTTCTGCTTAGAGCAAGGGCTGATGCTGCACCTATTTAGAGGCTAATGTATGCTTATCCATCATGTCTGCTAACTCTGCCTAAGCCTCTGCCAGCTTGGTCTGAAGACCTTTAAGTTGAAATTGAAGATGATCGACTTGACGTTGTTTTTAAAGTTTAGCATCTGCAACCTTTTCACCCTCACGGGATAAATTCTCTTCAATCTCTTTAAGCTCCTTAACTCGCTGCTTGGTCTCAAGCAATTGACGATCAAGTTCAAATAAGGAGTCATCCCTCTGGCGTATAGTTTGCATAGCTTGTTCTTTAGCTAAAGGGTAAAGAGATCGAGACTGACGATTATGCCATTGATTAAAAAGATCTTCAACCTTGGTCAGGTGCAACTAGTAAGGAAATACGGTGAGGTCGGAGGTCAAATTCTTTATTAAGTCCAAGAAAAGTACCAGCATCTCCTTGACTCCTACAAAGTCCCCTCCGCGATTTAAGACTTGAGTGGGAGATTCTCTCAAAATCCTGAGGAAATTCTTCAATATTTTTGATACGGCAAAGTTTCTCGCCAAGACGATAGGAGAAGAGTGTGTACTACTAGAAGACACTATTTCATTATGAGCGGTAGAAGAAACCATAACTTCTGTGAAAACTGATGGTGTAGTGTACACGGTATGAGTGGCGATGGTTGCAGCAACACCATTGCAGTAGTGGTAGCTACGGTACTTGATGCGATGCAAGTTTTAGTCATGACGATGGAGCTGGTAGACACAACACTTATGTTCGTGATGGCTTCAGCATTAGCCATAGTGGTCGGAGCAAGTTCTGCTCCCTCAGCTTCATCAGGATTAACAGTCGAATTATCAACTTGGCCAGTTTCCATAGCTAAACTTGGAGGCATCCTACTTTCAGTAAGGTCACCAGAAGCTGGTCCTACCTCAGTACCCACATCAATAAAGATAGTGGAGTCTGTGGAGACAACTAAACACAGCGAACAGAGTCGTTAGTACCTTAAAAATCCAGAAAGGTAAAATATGTTTATCTTACCAGGATCAACAGGAGTGTTTTTAACGTTGGTGCTTGGCGCCGGATGCGATCCAATACGGAGTCGGACTAAAGGAACTTCATCCTCAAGTTCCGAATCCATTTCAACTCGGAGGGACTCTATCAAAGGGGTCTTGGGCGGAGAAATATTTCACCTTGGTCTTTTAGCAAGGCGTTTAGACTTGTGCATCTGCCCGAGTTCTTTAGACTTTTCCCTCATTTGTCTCGGGGCCTCACTTACTGCAGTTCGTCCCGAATAAGAAGTATCAGAGGAAAACAAGTCGAAATTAAAATAAGTTAATGTTGGCATACCAGTGATCCCTTTATCAAGGGATGGTTCTTTAGGAATCTGGGATTACTGATAAGAGCCTTCGACAGTAGATTCAATGGGTGGAGAAAAGCCCTTAGAAGCATCACGTGGAGGAGGCTCACAAGGTTTGTCAGTAAGGGCAAAATCCTCAAACCCACCAAGATCTGCTCCATCTTTAAGAGCATCTCCTATATCTGAAGCAGCAGGCATGTGGCTCTTGTATTCATCAACATGAGGAG